AGAGAGAGAGAGAGAGAGAGAGAGAGAGAGAGAGAGAGAGAGAGAGGGGGAAAGGGAGAGAGAGAGAGAGAGATGCGCGACACACTGCTCTGCTCTGGCCTATTGGTGGAGCTTTTTACCTCAACTGTCAACATTTGTTAACTTCTCGACCCACCCCTCACTCGTTCTTTGTGATCGAGTGTGCTTGCGATATGAATTCATATGAAAATCCGTATAACAATGTGGTGTAAATTTATGGATTTTAGAAGCATGTAAAAAAACGCAAATTTCGTCTTCTATCAAAGTTAATACTTTTTCAGAAGTAATATAGGAATAAAAATCAATCATTGTTTAAAGTTTATTAAAAATTTGTGCGTTTATGAAAATCATTAACATCGTTTTTATTTCACGTGTATTTCCAATTCTGATACAACCAGTGTACCATAACTAGCCACCGCGGGCCTTCCCGAGGTAAACATTTTCGTGATGTCTTGCACAAGGCAAATGTTAACAAGTGGGTTAACTGTAGAAAGCGAAACGAAATACGTGGTGTTAACCCAAAGCTTTGTGTTTAAGAAAGACAAACGGTTTTATTTCGTTAATCTACTTATTGAAACATCTGTTGAACTTAGTTATGGCATGAAACTTATGTTAGGTCTCGTAATCGTTCGAAATATCAACATACGAATGAACAAAGAACAAGGTGACATTTTGTTACTTTTTTTTTAACCCTTGATCCATATTTTGTAACAATTGTTAACAGTTAACCATTTGGTCTTCATGGATAGCCCACGAGATGGCGGATTTGGCTGAATTGAAGGTAAACAAAATTAAAGATTGAATTTCATTAATTTAGTCGAACAATTTTCAACAGATTGGTCTACTTTCCGACCGCTTTGATACTAATCTTTTTCCTGTCACGCTTCATGGCGCCAACAACCCCCACCCATCCCAAGATAGATCCAGTCGATTTCAAAGTGTGGTCAGAGGCAGCGACTCTGCCGCGAATTTACTTCCCTCTGACCTGCCTCTGTGGCTACACAGCTTGGCTTGTCAAATGGTCTTTCTTTTTGGATCAGGATCTTGAACTGAGTATGGATCTTGTGAATTCGAAGAATTATGTAGATTCTAGATCTAGGCTTTGTAGAATCCCATTGAGTAGATTGCTTCTGTTTGTTTGGAATAGATAAAAATAATCTAATACTCTAGATCTAGATCTAGACCAGGCCCAGGGCCCAGGGCCCAGGCTAGGCCAATAGAAGGTATTGGTAAATTTTTACTTTCACTCCCGCACACAGATGCACTGTTTCAGGGGTCAAACTGCTGTACTGTTTGCTGCAGATCACACATAAAGCCACTAAAACTGTCGCAAATCAATTATTTTCAAGACAATTTCAAATCTAACTGTAAAATATGAAATTATGGGTGTAAAAACA